TTTGAAAATGTCTTGCAACGCGTATCTCGCGACATTCGATTGAAATTATCTATCATTCGTCGGCCGTCGATAAAACGACGAACAATATTCTCGAATATTACATTTTATTACGTGTGTTCAATTATCTTATTTTGTATCTTTTAATATTTAATAAAAAAATTACATAATTTTGAAAATTTTGTTTAAATATAAATTTCTTAATAAAAATAATTGAATCTACACAATCGTCAGAAACGCGGAACTACCGCGGATAAATAATTAATGTTTTGCAAGTGACAAATAAATAATAAATAATTACCCATGATTACTCCGCCGTTGCCTGATGCCTCCTAGACCTCCTCCTCCTCTCTTGTCCTCCGCGGCAGCTTTCTCGTTGCATTCAACACTCGCGAAAATTAACTTGCGACACTTTGTACTCCACTCCCAACATTAAAATCGCAACGCGCACTTTATAATGATAACGAATGAAAAACCGATTGAACAAAAGCTGCAGAGATTTGCTTGCACTTTTGTCGGCAGACCTCTTCTCTTGTCTCTCCGTGCTTTTTTATTGCACCCACGCGTAAAGTAAGGTTATGACCGCGCGACCGATGATCAAAATACGACAATCGACGCTTATTGTACGACACTCCCGAAAGTTGACTACTTCGTAACATCGCGACGGCTTACCACGAAAGAATCGAGCGAAGCTAGATGTTTCCGCTTGACCTCGCGACATTCTGTAAATTAAACGCAACGAATTTACCCCGACGAATTTAACGCGACATAGGGAAAAGCGCGGAACGCGGAAATGCAGACGCGGACCGACGCGCGATGCAACTTCACTCAGCTACCGCGACGATGTCGCGTTACACTTGTCGCCTTATTTAACTGCATTTTCAGCATTTTATGTTTAACAAACGATACATGCTTGCGTTTAGAGTTGATTACTATTCCGTGTCAAGACGAATGAACATGCGAATTAAAATAGAGGATAAATATTCACGAACGAGAATATGTCCGCCACCTTAGTCGATGGGTGATTGATATGTAATTTCGATCGAATAATGTCGCGAGATATGCGTTCCTGCAAGACATTGTCGATATATTGACGCCAAATTTATACTAATAGATATCGAAGCACAGTTAGTTACGACAGTATTTACTAAGTAATCGCGTTATTTGATACTTGATTTTCGAAATCTCGCATCTGCGAGATGTTTGATGAAATGACCAACAGGTATTGAATTATCACCAATATTGTTGCGATGTCGTGGCGCCGTGCGGTGAGTGTAAATTGAATTAATAAGCAATTAACGATGCGTTCCGAAATGTTACCGACGTACAGTACGGACAAATGTATCGAAAATATAATTCCAACCTATATAATATTCTCAATATGATATGTTAATAATATGTAACTTTAATTACATATTTCTAATCCATAGATAGGAAATAAATATAAACTAGAAAACAATATTAAAGCGTGATATAACAGATGTTCGAATGTAAGGAGCGTTAATTAAAGAGGTGAATATATCGCAAAGATAATTCATAATCTTATTTTCTCATATCAAGTGAATAAATCATGTAAAATATCCGCCTTGACGAACGCTCGTCGCTTTTACGATAAACTCGCGGATCGTTCGTCACGTACCTAACCGCGTAGATTGAAGAATTGTCGCGAATTTCTCTCGGTATCTCTTGCGCAGCTCGAGGAATAATGATACAACGCCAAGCGACGCGACCGAGCGACCCGCGTTGTTGCGTCCTGCCTACTCGAACCTCGCCGCGCGAATGATAACAAGATCGGCGCGAACGTATAAACATACAGCGCGCCGCACGCCGCAACAATACGAGCTCCGCGTAATAGTCACAATGACTTTGCACTGTTTCCTTCAAGCATTCTGTACTTCGCGCTTCCTTTTGTGAATATTAACATCGTCGTTCAATACAACAGTCCATTCTTCTCGATTTATTATAAGATTTTAACTAGTCTCGAGAATTCGCTATCAAAGTATCGTATAACGCATTTGCCGCGACCGTAGATATGAAAAACGCGACGAAAGATACTGAAACAGGATCTGCGCGAAGACTTTAAAAGTCTCTTGCGAAGAGGCGATATAGGTTTCTTCCGACGACGTAAAGAAAATTGCGAAGCTGATACATTTACGATATGTAAATCATAATTAGGTCTCCAATTAATGTAAACTGATGGAGCGATCCTTTCGCTTAATTGCCTAATATTTTATATCTTATACGTTACTCTTTTCTTTAAATCAGTATCAGTATTTAATAGCCGCGATATGCACGTTATTTTGTAAGTGTTAGACAAATGTACGTCAAAATTACCAACAATTTTGTCGATTCTTGTATCTCGAAAATGCAACAGTCGTTTTAAGCAAAGGAAAAATTTGCTTGACTTATGTGTACGTATATGCAAGTATCTATTAAATAGATTCAATCACGTTCAGGCACGAGAAGCAAGACTACCGTGTGATAAAAAGCGATATAGTGTTAGACGAAACGAGAAATCGTTTCTCAGGAGAAAATTATTCAAATTGCCGATGAACTCCGAGACTCCGGCAGAGCACTCTCTGCTCTTCGTGTATTGTAACAAGTACGTAGGGAGAAAGAGAAGAGCTACCTATAATGCACGAGAAGTCGAATAACTAACGTAGAACGTCGTGGGATCGTGCGACGAAGATTTCTCCACGATGTTTATAATTAAGCGGTGCGACCACTTAGCAGAGCGGAAGAAAATAGGTTTAACATCGTAATACGCATTTGGGTCGTAATAGAGAGAGAGAGAAGGGGGCAGATTTACATGATAGCTTCATCCTGTCGCGAAATGCATTTTATTCGTCCTCTTAGGTGCATTCCCCTTGAATATTATACGCAGGTTCTGAGATAACGGTCATCGATGGAACCGGAAATAGGGGGTACCCATCGCGGCGCGCTATCGTGGAAAGATCGCTGATTACAGTGATTAATCCTTAAGCGGACGCGCGACACTTAATTTGATTACGGACTATTCTTCGAGTACTGTTGCCATTGTTCGGGCTTGCACTTGTGAATACTGGCGTAAATACACTATAAATTACGACAGCGCAGCGGAGTGCTATGAAATCAGTCCTGAATTATCTTGCGCGTAATTACTGAACGTTGTTGAATTCTTTGAAAATTTGCTGTTTGCACAGTGTCTTATTTGGAGTAACACTAGTGTATATGCTAATTGACATTTGGTCATGGCAGGAAACAGCGTAATTTGTTGCTGGAGAATAAAAGCTTAAGTAAGGACCGCGGAGGGTAATATGCGAGCCAAAACAGGAGTTGGTCTTTAAGATTATCCTACGAATAAACGCTAAAAGAGCGATAAGTTCCTTCCGGTATAATATATAAAGAGTCCACGATAAATTAACGTCCACCCGTTCGATCGTTATTTCCGGTCATTCGAATACCGCTGCGATTATTGTACCGCAGTAGGCCCTCAGGCAACTCAGATTCCCAGGCGCGCCCTCGTAAAGAAACAACTACGAACGAGCTCGACGAGAAAAGCGATTCTGACGGTCGGGTCGCACGATTAAAAGACGTTTCTTTCGCAAGAAGAAAAAGGCGACTGCAGGAAGCGAGAGGATCGTCACCGTCACTCCGAGGGCACGAGACGAAACGGATGACCGACGCATCGAGAACTTCTCTAAGACGCGGACATTATGAATGCCGCTTGGTCCGCGCGGTCGGCAGCTCGCGAGGAAAAAGGAAAAGGCAGCGCAGCGAAGCTGAGAGAGGCAGGACCGACCGGCGGGGAGATACATCCGTTCGTTTTAATCGCTAATCACCAATTATCCGAGAAGCGTCCCGCGCCCAAAACCCCCAGAAGCATTTTAACGAGCCGCCGTGTCGCCCAGGCCCGGAATTTCACTTCGGTCCGAGGCCCGATGGGCTTCCACCGCACTCCGGACGACCGTCCACGGTGTTCAGAATATATCTCTCGTTCCGCTCCATGGTCCATCCTGTCGTCCGCCTATCTTGCCTCGAACCGTGTGCGTGTGTGCGAGCGCGCCCGTACCAATTAGTGCATACTTCGGCTCTCGGTGTCTTAGGGGCCCTTCAGGGTGCTGCTCCCGCCGAAATTCTACGGAATGGGATCCCTGTCCCAAACGGTCGAGAAATCTCATTGGATTACTCGTCGTCGCTCCGACGATTGATTCTCAAACGAGGGAAATAGTTTAAGACTGATCTGTTTCATTCAACGAATGAAGACAAAGAATGAAATTACATATATATTTTTATTTTTATTATATGACAAAATAAAATATATATTACCCTTTTGTATTTATAACGACAAATTAAAAAATCTTTTTGATAGAGATTTTATTCTCTTCCTTGGCAAAAATTTACGCGAGCGCATCTCTCTTATTTTGTTTCCTTTATTTTTAAATCAAGAGATTTGTTGTCGATTCAAAGAACTGACAGTGAGTGAACCGTGCTTTTCGTAAGCGCACGAAGAACACGTAGGCTTTTGTAAAATTATTCTTCCTAATGAGGAACATGGAAAGCATGAATTTGCGAGGGTGTCTTTCTCGCAGGTTTTCGTAACGGTTCTAGCAGCATCTTTCGCACCGTTGACTTTAAGTATATACCACCTTGGGAGCCAGGTAATAACTGCCAGTGGAATTAGAAACGCCGAAGAGTCGCGAGGATAGTGAATGGGATGTACGTGACCGTAAGTTGATAGGTTTTTTTTCCCCGTTTGCACATCGATGACGGCGTATGCGTGCACACGCGGAAGAAGCTGAGTGAAGACTAAGTATTTAAAATCCAATCTTCGCATTAAGAAAGCATTTTGTACGCGACGTCAATTAAATTAATCTTCTTTGATCGTTATCTCACACGTTTCTCTCACAATTCCAATTTGTTCCATACATAAAATTCAAGAACGAAGGAACGATCGGCCAGTGACACCCTACTCGTTGGCGAAGGGCCAACGCGAATAAACTTATCATACGATTCGATTTAATTGCTGATTACCACGTTTACATAAATCGCCATTCTACTGTCACCTTCCATCTGTCAATCATTCACGATACTTTCGAACCTCCAAATTTTCGGCAAAAAATTCTACCGGCTGTTTTACACAACGCTATTCGGACCTTCAAAATCTTTCGTTATAAAATTATTTCAGCTACCTCAATGGAAATATCAACGACTCGATCGAATCTATCTTAATCGCAGATACGACTTGATTCCCCACGAGAAACGTCCTGAGTTACGTCATGTCTTGTTTCGGCGGCCACGACGAGCAGATCTATCTAATCGAGATACTGATCGATAAATTGACATTGACGCCCGGTAAAATCAAAGACGTCGGCGGGCATCCTATCGTGATCAAGATCAAACTCTTAGATTTCCCAGTGTTCGAGTTTATGCGAGACGACTCGGACGCGTCAAAGCGCAGTCAAGACATACGTTTTATGGTCGGTAATTGCTGCCTATTCATTAAGCGACCGCGGGATCTGGTCCAGGGACTACGCTCGTCGAGCTTGAAGATTGGCGTATTTCGCGCGGGCGACACTTATCCCACGGCGGAGACCGAATTCGCTCTGCCAGGTTGTTTGTGCGACCAGATCGCCATGATCGGCAATGATCCCGAAAATCAGCCGAAACCATTTACGGTGAAGGGCGGCGTTCACCTCGTAGATCCGGGCGAAAATCCATCCGGCACGTTGCACATGGAACTCGTCGTCGTGGGTCTTGGACGTATCTTCAAGACGCACTACGAGCTGCGGCCGAAATCTCTCGTAACCGGTGAACAGGACAAGGAACGGGAGATTTGCGTGAAGCGATTCGTACCACCCGAGTTTCTCGACGAGAAAATCTCCAAGGATGTGGAGATTGCTCCAAAACCGGAAGTTAAAAAAGCGAAAGGTAAGGAAGTCAAGAAAGGTAAAAAGAAGAAAGGCAAGAAATGATTTATGTTATGATGTTATTTGATGTTATTCAAGAGCTCTGAAGTGCGACTTCATACGTTCGTGAAATCATAATTTCCCATTCGTCGTTATGGCAACTATCTGACAACTAGAAATGTCAATTGACTTGATACGCGCGCGGAGGGATCGTTCGATTTTAAACCCGAAACGCTTGCAAAATTAATGGCGCGATTCCTACAGGAGCTTCGTTAACGTTGACCCGGAGTTACTTTCCAAATTTGTCGTGTGACCGACAACGTGAGCGTGTCTACTTATTCCCGCAATCGATTTATTCAAAATGGCTTTGAAGAAAAATATATCAGTATTTGAAGGAGAACAATTGTATACGCTTGAAATTCTCATTGATCGTTTAAATTTATATCCCGAAAAGATTATTAATAATGGAGAGTGCGATTTGATGGTACGTATAGGCTTCGTCGATCTCAAACCTGTCGATATCATCGCTGTGGAATCAATCAAGGTTAATAACAAAAGGAATAAAAAAAATCGATTTTCTGATGAGTACATCGGTTGCGAAGGCAAGACATGTCTGCTTGTTCGGACACCGAATGATTTAATACGATCTGTAAAATCGACTCCTCTAAGTATTGAAGTGTACTGGATTCCTCGCGGGGAGGACCGTAATCCGCGAGATGATTCTGGACGTGTTCTCTGCGCAGCAACAGCATTTTTACCAAAAAGTTTCTACGATTGCATAGCCGCGGCGAAGAACAAAATAGACGGCCTATCAAAATCGCATATGTTAACAAAGAGTTACACTTTGACCGATGAGGATGGGAATCCGTGCGGATCCACATCGATGTGCCTAAGACTGTCGTGTTTCGGAAGCTCTATTATAAATCATCTTACGCTTCGCGAGAAGTCATTCATACTTCGAGGATTTCCTCTCGGTTGGAAGTTTCCTTACACGAAACTGTCCGACGAAGATGTAAACGATGAGAAGTATAAGACAAAATGTAACGATAACACATCGTTGTTGTACAAAATTCTAGATCCTACATATTCGAAATCATTACATAATCAGGATGATCGTATAGAAACAGAATCCGTGCTGACGAGACCGAAATCACCACTTCGTATATCAATGAATCAGCCAGGATTCGAAAAATTAACGAGCGCCGAGAAATTGAACGATCACAAGTATCGTGGTTTAATTTACGAGATTTATCCTGACGAGCCGACTTGTTCGTGTCTGCCGACAGATCGATCGACGCATCCAATGATGTGTCGTTCCGGATGCGTCCGTTCTTGTTGCATGGCTTTGAGAAATCCCGATGCTCTGAAAAATTTTCCTTCGCTTGCTACGGTTGCTCCCGATAATTTAAAATCAGATGAGGAACAAAACGTAAGTTATCATGATGACACTAGGAGGATGAGAGGTGGTGAAGATACAAAGAATGATTACTTAAACAAAACGTGGGACGAAAAATATACGTGGCACGAGAATGACGTTAATTTGAAAAATCGCGTAATGGGTGGAAGTGACTGTGGCGCACCAGCCTATGCGTTTTCCGAAGGAACGACCGTCATATATGAGAAGAGCAAGGAAAGGGGCGCTAACTCACTGTGCAGATCCCGACCAAGAACGGCGGACGGAATTAAAACGGCGGACTGCATTTGTTCAGGAAAAGTTTCGTCGCCTTGGAAAACGAATGCGTCTAAGTGCACGAAAAAACCGTGTGTGGGCGCAGATTGTATGATTCGCGTGTTCAAGGAGGCTCAAGAATTCGTGGATTCTCTCGGCAAAGTGCCAGGTCTGGTAGGTCTCGGCTTGATGGACCCATCCGAGAGTCCTTATTTCGGCCGAGACATACAGAAAGATTACGCCGTTCAAGAAACACCAAGCGAGAGAAAACGAGGATATCCCGTCTCGGTACCGCCAGCATCGACAATTCAGTGTCCTGCTCCTTGTAATACGCAGATTGGCAAACCCATCACCAGCATCCACTCCTCACCTTACATTGCATCCAGTTCTATAACGACAGCGATTCCAGGACGCACTGGTGTTGTACGCGAGGCAATACCCACGTTACCACCGGAAGCGACGTTACTTCCGATCGCCGTCAAGCCAAAAAAGAAGGAGGACAAGAAGGAAGAGAAATTAGAAAAGCAAAAAGAGCTGGATGTTACAACCTCTGTGCCGCTAGACGTCGATGTTGGTCCTTGCGGTGAACCGAAATGCAAATCTCGCCGGAAGAAACACAAAGATGACCGAACGGTGCCACACGACGTCGTGGTTGAGGAATCAGAAAAAAAGCTAATACAGTCAACAGCCCCCAGTACGATCGCCGCGAAGGTTACTGGCAAATTCATCGAAAAGGGACGATATCCGAAGGGTAAGCCAGGTCCGAGTGGCGACAGGGGGGGTCCTATCAAGGTTAGCAGACGAGTAATGCAATACGTTTATTCCATTGGTGATGTCTACCCTGGGACTATTTACGGCCATAAGAATTGCCTCGCTCCACGATTTAGGGTACCGGCTAACATGGGCTGGCTGTGGAATACGAGCGCAACGGTGGACAAGCTCAAGCCGCGAATTGGTTGGAAGCCAGGCGCGATCGGGCGTTACTTGTACGAGTTGTTGAAGGAAGCAAAGGGTGCTTCCACGCTGGAGGATTATCGGGGGACGAAATCGATACCCTCGCGCGCTAGCTTGCGACGCGGCAAGGTTCAGGCGTACAAGAGCCTGAGCTATGTGTCGCAGGTAAAGAAGGAGATCGAAGAGGATGCGGAACCGCCTCCGACCCTGCACATTCACCGTAAGGACGGCACGTACTACGTGACGATGTACCCGATCAGGCAAGAGACTGGGGACGTGTCGCAGCTGGAGGAGCCGATGAAGCCGCTGCAATTCAAGATAGCGCGGAACAAGGACGACGCCTCCGTCGCATCGAGCTCCACGGCGTCGGACATGGAGATTGAATTCTCGCCACCGGCGGCGGTCAGTAGGTACCGCAGGAAGCCCGATGTGATTCACGTGGACACCCAGGTCAGGCAGCAGGAGATTCTCGATGCGTTTAAACTGACGACGGTCGACTCGCCGAAACCGAAGGAGAGGAAAGGCAAGAGGGAAAGGAAGGAAAAGAAGTAATGAAACCGCCCTGCCTTTTCTCCTCCCTTTCCTCATTATTCCCGGCACGATCGTGAAAGGAAAGCGCAGCTTTATCGGAGGTTTGTATCTCACCGAAAATTTAAGTGCGGCACACCGGCGCGACCGGTTATGTTATACATCGATCCTAATTTTACATGACGCGTTAAATTCGATTACGTGCAACCTATACTTTTCGTAAGCTCAATCGACTAATTGCGAGAATAATTTGCCGAGAAAGGAAAAGATGAAACGATTACATCCTTCGTAAATTTAATATTTCGCTAAAATGGTCGATATTAACTTTTTATCGATTTTAACTTTTTACCGATATTATAAACTATATTTATTTGAAGAGATGGAGAAAAAGAAATATATTATGTTTATATCTAACGTTTATTTCTGAGCTAATCACGATCTCACATAAACTATGCGATAAATTAGCTCCGTCTGAAAGATTTATTATTTGCGCAAAAGATAGCATGTATTTGATACCGCACTCGAGGTAATTTCAAAAAATATAATTATACGATTAAATATGATACCGCGACATCTTCAAACGTGTATTTAAGTTCATTGAATATTAATGAAACCAGATATTAAACTGAATTTGAAAGATGAAAGACGTCATTGTATGTATATCGAATATCATATTCGGAATATGTAACTCATTCTACTATGTTGATTTAAATGAATTCTCATATTTTGGCGCTTGGTTTGATACAGGCGACATCTGCAGGTGACGGCAGACACCGCTTGCGCGTATCCAGAGTTTGCTAGGCTATCGACAGGAGTTAAGGTTAAGGGAAAGGTCTGCTCGTGGCTTCGTGTTCCCGGTATTTTGATTTGACAGGGGATGAACGCCACGGCTAAGGATGACAAGAACCAACAAGTCGCGCGTAAGAAGATGCTCGATTTACGCAATGTCAGCGTGGGAAAGGTTCCGCAGGACTCACCGTGGTTAAGAAGCGTCCGTTTGCATTACACGCAGGATGGCCAGTCCAAGAATTGGGACGTAATAAGGATTCACGACAGCGTGTGTATGATTGTCTTCAACACAAGTCGGGAGAAGCTCGTATTCGTCAGGCAATTCCGTCCGGCAGTGTATTACGCATCCATATCGGAGAAGCAAGCTGCGATCGATGTCGAGCGTTATCCTGCAACCCTGGGGCTGACCTTGGAACTCTGCGCTGGCATCGTGGACAAGGACAAGTCTCTCGTCGAGATTGCACGAGAAGAGTTGAAGGAAGAGTGCGGTTACGAAGCGCCCACTTCGTCATTTAGGGAAATTATTACCTATTTGTAAGTTTGAAGGATTTCCTATACTCTAGTCTTTATCTTTTCGCATTATGTAACAGATGAAAATATTTATTGACTCTATTAAATTTAGAAGTAACGAGATATTTTTGATATAACTTGTAGTACTTGTGCAGTGTAATAAAACTTTTGATCTATATAAAATTATGTGTGCTGAGAATAAAATAAATATAACCTAGAAATTCTAGAATTTCAGCATACTCTCAGCATACATAATTTTATATTCTAGATATATAAGTATTTAAAAAAAGAATTCTCGTGTTTTCCAGATCTAGTGCTTCAGCTAGTGCAAAGCAAACTCTTTTCTACGTAGAAGTCACAGATGACATGCAGATACACCCTGGTAAGTTTAATCGCAAAATATTTTTTAAAAGTAATATTTTATCAAAGTATTTAAAAAAAACATTTTTATAATGTAATCGACAAACTAATTTGAAATGTATAAAAAAATTTCCACTCCAACTTGAATCTTTTGTCATTCAAGGTGGTGGTGACGAGTCCGAAGGTGAAGTCATAGAAGTGGTGGAATTGAGCATTCCTGAGCTGAAGGATTACATGAGATCCAAAAAAGTACAAAGTCCCTCCAGTTTCCTATATGGGATGTCTTGGTTTCTACTTAATAAATCCGAGTACTGTTAAATAGAAAATAAAATTAAAATTTAACGTACTCAGCCATCTAAAATAAATAAAAGAAGACAAATTAATTTGTAAGTAAAAATCAATACTATTATTCAACCGCATTATTTATTTACAAGTAGAGCATTTATACATAAGCAATGACGAGATAGTTGCACAATTAAAATTACATAAAATTACAAGGAGACCAACATTCAATTAGTATTCAATTCGTCCTTTGTGAATTGAGAGCTAACCCATGCAAGACCCCATTTTAAATTTGTTAGTAGGAACTTTAAGGCTTTAGTCCACTGTTCTTCTGAATTGAATTGTATTCTGAAAAAAGAAAAGAAGCAAGATCAGACAGATGCTTTTTCATTACAGGTAAATTTCTCATGTGTAGGTTAAGTATTTATGAATTCAAACTTACTTAATAGAATAAGAGTTGCCCGTTGCGGAATCTTCAATTTTACCCCGATCCATCCTATATGGTAGACAAAATTCACTGTCTCCTTTTTCTACTTGTTCCTTAAATTGTTGCAAACAATCCAGAAATGCTACCATAGCTGCATCAAATTTTGTATCCCATAAAAATTTAAATCCTCCACTTCCATATAATGGAAGCTCTTTATTTTGATCTAAAGCCTCGATATAACTGTGATTGCCAAATGGCACTAAACGAAAACGCTTGAATGTTAGATTCATTTTGCGCGCAAGAGCCACTAGCAAAAGGGTCGTTTGTCCCCATGCAGCGTTTATCTCGCTCCAATCCACTGGCGCGCTCGGCAATCGTCCCAATCGAAATGAATTTATAGTTCCAAAGTGGCCTGAATGCCAAATATGAAATGTGGCGTTGAAAACGTTCGTTTTCTTCAATCTTTCAAGTTGCGAAGCTGCATACGCCAGTTGATTATCCAAACTATAAATAAAAATTTAATTTTACGTAATATAATAGAAAAATATGAACAATTACTGTACATTGTTTTAGGATATATTTTATTTACCTGCGACATTCATCGTCAGCTAACATGAGATCTCTTCTGTGTTTTGAATATTCTTTCCAATATCTGTCCTCTTCACTTTGTAATCTTTCCCTTTCTCTCTCCTGTTCCGCTATGGCATTCCTAGTGGCTATTTCTTCTTTTCTCAATGCCTCCAGCTCCCTTATCATTCTTTCTTCTTCGGCCTTTACATCCTGCAATTCCTTTGTAAGGTTCTCCATCTCTACGTCTTCATGCCCCTGATATTGTTGCTCAATTTCTAATTTCTTCAGGTACTCGTTATAATCTGACCATTCTCCTTCTGTCATTCGTAACTGCTGATCCATCAGCAGCAAAAGACTGTCTGTACATTCATCGCAAAGTGGATGATCTGCCGAACTGCTACTGCTGAGAATATCAAACAATGTTGCTCGTACCTAGAAAAATACAGATCAATTTAAATAATCAAATACATACATTACATAATGTTTAAGATATTTTCTCAATTGTCTATAGACCTTTAAGTGATGACTTAAGCTTTCCGTTTCACCAGAATCGCCAACTAACATAAATCCATTTGTACCATTTCCTGATTCAGTCAATCTGAATGGCGGAACTAAGTGCTCTATACTGTCACTTTGAGGTTCTAATTCTCCAACAACTTGTTGTTGTATAGGAACTATAATAAGATAATAATTATGTAATTCGCTATGCCAGATAAGTAGAACAAATCAAATTATCAAGTTGAAGTCTATCATTAGATATTCAAATACTTTATATATGTGTACATGTATATGTACTACACACACATACACACACGCAGTCAGAATATATATAGAATGAAAATAACACCTTCAGCACAGTCTAATCGCATAAATAATTAAGAGCCAAGATTGTTTCTTTTTGTGTACTGAATGATAGGTACTGCATGTAAAGTTTAGATATATGTATTATGTGTAAAAGTGTTGTTTACACACACAAATGTACAGTATTACATAGCTGATAGTTTTATTAATAGGATTCGCGCTTACTATATAATTAATAACAAAATTCAGAGATAGTGTTCTTGAAAACGCAGATTCGCGTATTATACGTTAGTGCACGAGCACTCGATAATGCGTATTGAGTAGCGTTATCAAGTTGAAAGTATCAAGTGGGACAATCGTGATGAATGTCGAAGTCTCTCGCCAGTAGAAAATAGAAATTACCTACGTGAGAGTTCAGCCAGAGTGTGCTCCCCAAGGTGATCAAAGCTCGAATCTAGTTTCAGCGGTTGTAGACATCGTTGGCACGCGAAGCTGACGTTTGTCTTTAAGTCTACCATATCGCGTACGTCGCTTATCAAAGAAAGCTGCACTCGTACAACCTGCCTGTGCGCGTCGTTATTTACGAATACGCGTCTGCCGCTGCCTACGACGCTTGAGGTCAGCTGATGGTGCCTTGCCGAGCAAACGTCAGTTAGCGCTGTCACATCAGCGTCGTGTCGGTATAGACGTATCACTGTATGCCGCAATTCTAGTATACGTAAATATGTTTTATCGCTTTAATATGTATGCAAGAATTATTATACGCGAAAGACGATCAGTGGAGACAATAGTATTTTACTATTTTTCTAAAATTTATATATTTATGTGTGTGGTATCCGTTGTCGGTAATGTATTGTCGGTCACATTCCTGTAGCTGCACTGAACTTGTCCGCGCCATCTATGATTCTTTCGCTGCATCAATATGCAAAGTTGCGTTTCATAGATTTAAAATTACTATTTAGTATTTACGCGATGGCTGACACGAGTTGTGTCCGGAGAATCGTTCCGCGTCTTTTCCGCGATCGTTTGCGTTCGAGAGTAGTTTTCGTGTGCGTTTTGTCGTGAGTACGTCTTGCAAAGTGTCGGACGTTCGTAAGACATTGAATGCGATCATTATTATACGCCCGTATCGGCCGTATCGCGATTTCGATATCGCGCGTCCCGCGGCTGTGTGTACATACAGAAGAAACGAAATCGCCTACGCCGTATTATTCATTGTTATTTCTCGCAAATATACATCGAAAATATGGATTATCACGCGATCGTCGCAAGGTATAGATATATCGCTATATCTGAATGCTTTCGTAACATGGAAAATGATTATCCGGATATGAATATATTGTTGCGCCCGAGCCATCTCGCATTCGGCGAGCCGGAGCGAGTCGCCGGGCGTGAAGTAGTCGCGGAGCGACCCGAGCGACTTTTCTTGCGAGAGCTAGTGCGCGAGACCGATCCGCGGGCGTAACAATATCATGACGATAGCGTGAACACACGACAGTTCGTCAAGTAAACTCCATGCAATCGTAACATTATTTAGTTGATGATGAATTCCAGGGTTGGGTAACACGTTGCTTGTAATTTCGTTACCATTTTTGTTACTTTTTTCCAGTAACGATCGTTATTTTTTTCCATTTGTAACGGTAATGCTAACGTTATTACATTTTTTATCTGTGGCAATAATTAACGAATTTGCCGTTAGCTTTTATCATTATTTTTTTATACTTTTATTTTCTTATCTATATAATTTTATCTACTAAAGAATGAAATTCATATTTTGTATAAGTAATTATTAATTTTTTAAATTATTTTTATAGGAGACTGGGAATCGCTGGGAACCGTCGGAGTATCGAGCTATTTTCAAGTTACACAGAGGGTGCTCGGTGAGTATCAATAAAATGCTGCACTCTGGTGGCGGTGATTTTAGTTGCAAGAAATTTTTGACGTGTATTTATATATTATTTATAAGGATGTATATTTAAGGTAATGAAGTTTCAACGTCAATCTCGTTGAATTATGTAAATAATAGTACAAGTAAATCTATAATTGTAAAACATTTTTTCCCTATATCTCTAGAAAACTTCTTTAAATTTAGTTAGACAAAGAAACTATATTAAAATAAATTTTTTTTCGATATTTTAAAAACTTAGAACACACGGACAATTGTGATGAAATTATAAAATTTTTAATGAGAGATAAATTATGAATTTAGTACGTTTTATACGAATAAAAATCTATAATTCTAATTCACAATCATCGTTTTAGAAAAATTTGTTATATCGAATATTTTTTACAAAAGAGTCGTTATAAAATATTTAATTATTCGTATAAAACGTTCTAAATTTATCTCATTAAAAATTTTATAATTTCATCACAATTGTCCGTGTATTCTAAGTTTTTAAAATATCGAAAAAAAATTATTTTAATATAATTTCTTTGTCTAACTAAATTTAAAGAAGTTTTCTAGAGATCTAGGGAAAAAATGTTTTACAATTATAGATTTACTTGTACTGATATTATTTACATAATTCAACGAGATTACGTTGCAACTTCATTACCTTAAATATACATCCTTATAAATACACGTCAAAAATTTCATGCTATCTTAGGATTTTATATGACGTGCGAAAGGATGACTTCCCGATGACAAAAAGTACGATGGAACTTAATATTTATATGACAGTCGGTAGCCAGCGCGAATTGCCATGTACAAGCTTATGTTAATGTTGACGAGCATTTTAAGCGATATTTCGTCACGTATGCATAAATATCGAGTGGCTGCCAAGAATCAACAGGTGGCAGCTCGTTTCTGTTTCTTCGCTCGTGCTCTCGCTCGCGCGATATAACTTGAGTTTCACGCATATTCATCACCCGACGCCCATTAGCCAGTGCGCAATAACAATTGGCGTTTTCCAAATGTAATCGCGCGAAGCTTACTTCTCTAATAACGGCTACGACCCCCATCGCTTTCTTGTCTACCGCCGATGAATTATTATGCGAAAGCTTTTTACCGGTGCGCTTTCTACCGCTCCGTACGCCGGAGAAGCGCGACGAATCGCCGACTCACAAGCACGTCGCTCAACCGGGATCTACCTCGTCGGTTCTCTCTTTCTCTTATAAATGTTACCTGAGATTAAATACAAAACTAAAAAAGATATTTAATAAACCACAATCCTACTCTCGGAATCCCAGAGCGATTTCACCGAGGATTAAATTCGAAAGTAAAAAGAAATGTAATAATTTTTAATATGCGCCTATTAGTTCAAATTTTCGACTATATATCCTGACATGAGATTCAACACAAAAGGAATATTTAATAAATTAGGTTTTCTGATTTTTTAAAATAAATTTCGGACGTATAGTTTAACTTTAAGCTTTAAAAAAAGGCATTCATCTGGTAGTTTTTTTTAAATAAATCGAATAATGTTGTATTAAATAAAAAATAACGTTGATTCCTCGGCACGATTGCATTAATTAATCATTGCGTAAGGCTTATTCCATTACTGTTTCTGCTGACTGTAGTACTTGCTAAAGAAACTAATGCAAATTGCATTAGGAAGTTTAATTACTTATCGGGAGCGAGTTTCGCACATCGGTGCGGACGAGCGAAGATAAATCTGCAAGGGTACCCTTGCATTAGCGTGCATATTTGTCATGCATCATGCACTCGAGTATTCTTGCAACGCCTCGCGGCCTGCAAGTTAGTTACAAACGTGATTGCATTAGTAAGCAACGAATACGTGAGACGAACAAACCACATCCTGCGGTTAATAATACACTATATTTCCGCTTAGCAATGCATTGCAAATATATGCCCGCGCTAATTCTTGTAATTTGCTGTTTCTGAGAATTGTGTCAACGAATCAATTATTAGTTTGAAACTGGAACGTTTGATGTCTTATAACTTGAAGATAAAACAAAGAATATTTGAACATAACGCAACATACATCTTAATATCTCTTTTTATTTAAAAGTTAATTAGTACTATATTATCCGAGGAATATTTTGCTTATTTCATTGCAATCTTAGGATAATAATTTTGTATAAGTAATTATTAATTTTTTAAATTATTTTTGTAGGAGACTGGGAATCGCTGGGAACCGTCGGAATATCGAGCTATTTTCAAGTTACACAAAGGGTGCTCGGTGAGTATCAATAAAATGTTACACTCTGGTGGCGGTGATTTTATTGCGGTACAATGACATAGGGACAATAATTTTGACTATAATAACATTTAGGTAGGATTTGCTCATAAACAAATTTAGATTTTTATTTATAGCTACTGCCATGATGACTTTTCATCATCTTCTGCTATATCGAATTTTGTTGAGAAATCAAACGTGTCCTTCCTTTCGATTGTCACAATGGACGTCCGCTCTCTATGTAAATTATCCTACCGTATCTATTTATGCGAGTTAAAATATTCGTGACAATGTAAAATGCATGCAAAATGTTAAGAGAGAAAAACATCGATCGGTCAAGCATTGATCGGTCAAGTGGCGAGATTTATCGGTTGTTCTGATCGCAGCATCATCGCGCTGAACGAAATCGTGGATAGAAATCGGTCGGAGCGAAGAGCAGGAGTGCGTGCGTTACACGTGCAACTTTGGAGAGGGTATAGCTCGTCGGTGAGCAGGTCGGTGCGGAGGGAAAGTTGAAGAAGGGTGGGCGGCGACCGCTTGGAACGGAGGAGTGCCGTTGGGGCCGACGCGAACGAAATCCGTTGAGTTTGAGCTGAGCTGAGTGAAGCGCGGGCGTCACGACGACATCGGTTGGCGTCGCGGCTGGCCTCCGCCAATCCGTCCCTCAGCGGCCATGTTGGTCGTGTACCTGGGGCGGAGCACTGAGTGCCTGTTCGTACTCTCCATCCTTGTCACGTGTTTCACGCTCGAGCTCCTCTTACCTCCTCCTTCTCCTTCTCTTCTTGTTCTTCTTCCTCCATCGCTTCCTCGCCGCTTCGCGACTTCGTCGTCTTCTTCTTCTTCTTCTTCTTCTTCATCATCTTCTTCTTTCTTCTTCGCCTTCCTCTTTTACCGCGTTATCGCACGATCCTCTCGCTCCACTGCTGGTGCAGTGCCGTGGGTGCGCCAGATCGCAGGTTGCATCCGAACTGCACCTGCGACCAGTGACGTAATGCCGTCCAGACCGCATAGCTGCTCACTTTCGAGTATAGTACAGGAGGAATAAGTTAAAATCGTGCATTTTCATTTTCGACAATGATTAAACAATTATATCAAATTATAATTATACTTTGATCAAGGTGAATAGTTTCCTAGTAAATCGCATACGTAAATTCCATACAATTGTAAGATGCACTTTCGCAAGAACAAACTCTTCTCTTCTTCACGTTATCTCTCGCTCTCTCATTGTACCTATACATCGGCTGATTTACGACGCGCTTACTTCGCCGATGAAGGGGCTCCGCGCATAAGAAAGCACCGTACGGCAACGACATTGCACGCGTACTTGGCGTTCGTTTCGTTTTACGATTACGCGAATCGCGTGTAATTGCCGGGGTCTAACTTGGCCGGCGGCCTTCAACTTCGCTTCTCCGCGGCGCGTCAACTGTCCCATAGATCTTTGCGGCGGCGAAAGAGAGCCGGAGTAATTGTACAGGCGATCGCCGCTGCTGTGCCAAGTGCAATTATAATACTGGCGTGGAGTTATACGCGAGTTGCGGCGCGCGGCCGACGACTCCGCCGACGTCGATTGCACTTCTGGCAATCCGTCTGGAAGCCTGTTATTTCGCTTCTTACGAATCAATTAACGCAATATAGGCGGTATCACTCGCGAGCCCGCTTTCGGAAATTGCTTGTCCAGTCGAAGTGATTGGTTACACGATAACCGCGAGATCGTTCCGCAATTAATTCCTCGCGACTTGTACGAGTTATTAAGTAAAATTAATTTTTCGAGACTGGCTTATTATACCTGTATGACTTTTTTTCTCACGCAATCGACATAAATTGTGGTCACGCAGTTGATGTTGAAATTATACATTGAGAATTCTCGCTGTCAGTTTTTACGCGAGCAAATTTTCTCGGGGCATCATATTGCGCGACAGCTCGAGTTTATTACGCGATGATACGTAAAATTAATTGTTTACGGGAGAGGATGATTTATAGCTTTCTGCCTCAGTAACTGAAGCAGATAAGAGATAAATGTCGAAATTAGGCGAGATAATATCCTTGTACTGATAATGATAATTGATTCGCATTTAACGCATTCAACGAAAAATATTTCGAGTAAAATATCGTGTATATTTATTACGTTCATGTATGTAGATTTTACAGAAGATGACATTGGTAGTTGCATTAACAGAGTCAGCGTGTATACATTTAATATCTTATTTTTAGAAATGATACAAGTATTGCAAATTTATTAGAAAATTAGATGCAATCTTGCTTGAAAAGAAATTGTTTCAATAAAATGAGAATGGAAAAGTTTCAAATTCCTTCGTCTTCCACCTGCTGATACAATCCAGTTACTAGTATCTCGTCCTGTTACCACCAAACAATGGTTGATTTGTGCTTTCGTAGGAGAAACAGCAGCGAGATATCACGCCTGCGTATGATTACGCGAGCCAGATCCTCGATCGCGATACCGCGCGAGCATTGTTAATAAAACCACACGGTTACGATTTTTCCAGCAGCAACTTTACTTTGTCAGAGCAACGGATGATGATCGTATCTTGCGTATAGCTACGCTGTACGCACCCTCGGCTCGAAACGTGGCTCGAACGCGCGCAATAATTTTCTCGAATAGAAGTCCGTTTAATACAGAAGCCCTCCGGGTACAGCAGTTTCTTGTTCCTCGTATCTTTACTGCGCACGAAACTCCGTTCGTTATGCCGCTCAATAGGATCTTGTTACCAGCTCTTGTTATGTAAAAATTATCGAATAGATTCCGAAGAAAACAGCTTGTATCGCACGCGAGAATGTTGTTGAAAATGAGTTGAAGCTAAGATTTGTGATTTCAACGCAGTTATACATAAAATGTTGAAATTAAATCGATATTTTTCCGTAGCACAGTAACTGCTGGCATGCTCTCTTGTTGTATATTCATTTTTAATTTTTTAAATTTAATTTTAATTCAATTTGAACCTAGATTGGTAAATATATAAATATATTTATTATTATTAATTTATGCAATAATTAAAATTGAGAAAGTGTGAAATTCACTTGAAAAATTGAATACCGCTGTACGACATTATTTCATCGCCGATCGATTAATTTATAACTCAATATCCCAATCGCTTTTCTTATATTGCGCGTATTATAGTTCCGTAGAAACTCTAAATCGATTTGCTTCTTTCGAGATGACTGGTGAATCGGTAGTTAATTCGTTGCGCGAGAAACATAGGGAACCATGAGGAATAATTAGTATGCCATATATATCATCTGCGATCGCGTTATTAGTCGGGCGGTCAGGCATGAGCAAGCCAACTGAGTTTATTTTAGCAAAGGGTTTACATCAGATGATCGAATCCGTTGGCACGCTTGGCCGGAGCTCGATCCGGCCAAACATCGGCGATTCGATGTTTACACCGCGAGTATTTATGGGCCACGAACCGCCCACGAGAGTTCGTTTTCGGAATTCGGAGCATCCCCGCAGCGAGTAGATCGACTCGGGAACCCCTCCGGTTGACCCCCTGAGACACATTCAGTCACGGAATACCCAGGATCTTAGTTACTCTAAGAAACTTTAAGAATGTTTCGCCGAACACGGCCGGGATTGATTTAGATGAAAATCGAGTCATTTACATTTCCAGTTTGTAATACTTTTGCGAATGATTCATACTCTTTCTACACAACATGATAACGAATGTTTCATTAAGTTTTGTATTGCTAATATAAAACTCGATTGCTCATTGAAGATTCAAGTTTTCGATCGTTTGTGAGTAAGCAAGACAAATATTTTCAGTACACTAAATGCAGCCACCAACCAATTTCCACATGTCGGTACATGGAAATAAATATTGTGAAAGAGAAATTTTCATGAATTATGAGATTTTGAACGCGTTGCTGTGCCATAAGTCACCGACCGTAAAAGCACCGAGTTTGACAGAATAGACGGGGTGGAGAGAAAAGTCGTTTTCGATCGAAATACCAATTTGCCTGATGGGGAAAAGAGATGAGTTATGTAGGAGCTAATAGTCCGAAGATGGATGCGTTATGGTCTCTATTTCAAGCTATATGACAGGCATGTGTGCAATATGCATATATGTATGTCCATGTGCTAATATATATGTATATATAAAAATGTACATATATATATTAGCTATAAAGTTGTGTTTTGGACAGGGGGTGGAAGCGGGTGAACGTAATGGTCGTGCTCGCGGCGCACGAAAAGCTTTGCTTCCGACAAAAAATGTTTATTTTTACATCACGGCCTAGACGGTCGAACAAAATTTCTAACGGTAGAGAAAACAAATCACTCTGAATTCGATCTGTATATTTTGTCGGGTTACGCAAACATGCCGATACATCCGTCGAACACATTGAAAGCGAATCGCTGAATTATAAGACCCTCGTCGGTATGAACGCATTCCAATGTGATATGTCTTTCTCGCAGTCACAGTTGTTCAGATTATCACACGCTAATATAACGTTAATTTGTAGAAAATAATGTATATGTTGTAATAATTATGCCTCAGATTAATTTTTTTAATTGTGAAATATTGTAAGAAAATAATACATACATAATACACATACATATATACGTATAAGATATTGAAAAGTTAATATTAAAAAATATTTAGTATTAAAGAAAAGAATAATTGATCATTGTTACTTGTAAAAGTGACTCGAAGAAAAACACATGTCACTACTTTGCTATAGATGTTTTTCATCTAGTGCTAATAGTTCCCTTTTTTTATTTAATTTTCTTCCCTCGTATTATACGCAGAGATATAGATCAATAACGCATCGCATCTTATGCATCTTGATAGCGTCGAGATATCGCGATTGCAATGTCGTCCTGCACCAGTCGCTTGTTCGTCCTAGACACCATGGTTTATTCGTAAGATCGGCGGATGCGTGCGCGAGTAGGTACATGTGCAAGTGCGATGCATTTATCGCGTTGCAACGTGCGTCGGGTGGCCTGCGCGCGGCAGGGGTCTCGCGCTCCGGACGTATATTTATGGCTGAAAAAATGTTTTATCATAATAATACGGAGATACGCGGCGTGCCGGCAGATCCCTTCTCTCTTCTCTTTCGCTCGTGAAGGTACCGGTGAAAATGAGTGCGCGAGGGGCCGTGTACTTACATAAAGAGAGGTTTGTTCCTTCTATCTTGCTTCCTTTCCTCTCCTGACTCGTAGTCGCGAGATGATAGCTTAGCGCGATTACCAGAAAATTATTAGGATATCGATTGAGGGTTCTGCGTCTCTCTGGAATTCATATCTTTCGTCTGCCCCTTTGTAAAAATGCCATGCCACCGTGCACCCGGTGTGATGGTGTTGGTTACAACATGAAATCAAGCCCATGTGCCGCGATGCACGCTAACGAGGCATAAACCGAGAATGTCGTTATATCCGTCCTTTTTCTGCATAGTTATCACGCGATACGAAGAAAATTAAGAAATTTGAGAAAGAAAAAGAAGTTGCGGTTTAACGATTACGAGAGATATTCGTGGCTGGATCGGTAGCGGAAATATTTCAAAATGTAACCTGATATTGTAAAAAACGGGCAGAAGTTTTAGTGGAATCGCACACATTCGATATGATCTTAATGCATATGCGACACGGACGACTGCCCTCGGATTGTTTCAAGATTACGATTTTATCGTTTCGATCGACTTCTCTTCCTCCGTTTCGAAATCGCGAAAGCACCAGCGATCGAAATAAAGCGCAATTTCGCGTGCACGTTACTACAACCGCATAAATGTACAGCGCACACCACTTAACGCATTAGTCGAAGTGGGTAAGGGCGCAAAATATTCTCGGTTAAGGTCGGTAAGTGCTTCGTGGTATCGTCTCTGGTTACGCGAGAAAGCCCTCTTCGCTAAAGTTACGACACCCTTACGCACGCAGTTACAGCTGCGACTCCTAATTGCGATAGCGTCCCCGCATGCTTGCGCACGCCGGCGGAATTTGCATAAATGGAAAATATTCGCGAGACGAGCGCCGACGAATCGAACGTACTTGCGAATTCTGCATATGTATGACACACGTTAAAAAGCATGCCATTAGTTGTTGCTAACTATCGAATGAGCGTTCTTTTTTTCATTTTCCACATACAATCGTCATTTACCAGATTTTTTAATCGTAGGTAAAAAAACATTTAATTAATTCTCAAAAAGAGTAAAAATATTTTTTTAATAATGTTGACACGTCTAAAAAAAGATAGCTTATTCTGTCCATTATACAAAACGGTTATACAAAATTAATTCTAAAAATATACTTGTACACGTTATAATTTTATATGCCATATATAATTTCAATTTAACGTTCACACATTGTGTAAAAAAATAGTTTTTTTTACAATATTTAAGATATAAATTTATAAATTTTTCGCTTCTTTAGGTATATACTCGTATATAATATATAGATCAGCTATAATAAAATGGGTTATTTAGATCATAAAACAAATCGCCGGATGTTTACGATGGCGCGAACGGCGACACGTGGTAAGAACGTAATATAATTCACTTTGATATAGGTTTAAACGCACATACACAGGAGAAAAGAGCGCGAGGACGCAGTTGTCGTCAGGTGCATCTCGTTTGTACAAGCGCGTACTGACAAAAAACCTGATATCGCGTAGACTTTTTATTGCGATCGGCAACTGGTGTACTTTATGTCTCTGAGGCATCTTTATCGTCGCTAATTTCATCGAACTTTTCGCTAACGTAATTTAAGACAGTCGTCGAACAAATGCAATAAATATAAATATTCATAAAAAAATGAAACGAAAATGCAATCGAAAAGTTCATTTATAATTTAAAAGTTAAACATTTCTGTGAAATTTTTGAGTAAAAGATCATAAATGAAGATGTACGACCTATACCACTCGAGATCCGATGACACGACTGTCTCAATGGAGCGCGACTATCATTAATCACCGTTCAATCACTGCAGAGTTTACATAACTTTGACGACGCCATTGATTTTGCCTACTGTTATGCCGTCTACGCCAATGCATGGGTCAGAGAGGCGAACTCAGCAGGGTTTCCGGACATTTTTTCTTGAAGGCAAGGCACGCGAGAGACGAGACGGATTTCCTATGTTTCTACCAATTACTAAAAATCCACGGGATATGTGGGAATTAAGAATACGTATAAAAAGTTATTCGTCGTTATCTTGATGTGAAACGAAGGAATTTATTACGAATCACTAATGCGTGAAACTAATTGGTGAATAATTCTGTCAATTTAAATAAAAGAAATAATTGCTTATCGTAATAAAGAAGAAAAATTGCTAGTGATTTTCTGTTTGAGTAATTGGATAAAGTATAAATAACTTGATCTACTAAAATGCATTTGAAAAATTTTGATGAAGATATAATCTCTGAATTTTACAAAGATTTATGTTGTTTTTTTATTGATTTACACTTCCGCGGCAAGTATACCTATACTACACGTCGAGTTAGCGAACGGTCGGACTTTACTTCAAATTGTGTACAGCTTGGGATAATAACGGACTTGATGTCGAAAAGAGCCGCGAAATCAGTTCCGCATTCTGCGGCGGAGAATAACAATGATTCCTCTCAAAGAATTAGTAAAAATCGAGGGCTACGGGACAGGGTGCAGAGCAGGTAATTCTGACAGCAGGTGAAACGCATCGTTGTCCGCCTACATTCGACGGCTATAGGTTACCGCCAGGCACTTAAACAAAAATCCCGGCGACTTTTCTCTGCCTCGTCGGTCTCTCTTTCTCTCGCTCTCGTTGGTCACGATCTCGCGTCGATTTGAAAAGCGTGGCGAAGGGTGGCCCACCGCATTTTGCCTGGTATTATTTAGCCCCGCGGGTGATCCCTTTAGTTCTGCCTTTGCTTCTGACCTTTCCATCTTTCCATTCTCCTTGTACTGTTCCTATGCTTTTTTTGTTTCTCTTTGACCTCTACCCGAACCATTGCATTGTATTCTTTTATGAAGTCGTGCGCGCAACTTAAACTTGCGGAATACTTCTGACTATGATTCTGCTTATTTTTTTACTGTCTTTAGCTGTAATTATAAGTTTAATAATTTCATAAATTATTGATATGCATAATATATTTTTAATAATGCGCTCTATATTTTAGTAAGAAGAGAAAAATTTTTGTAACGACATGTTCTTTTTTTTATTTATTTCATATTTACGTGACAATTAGACCGAAAAAATGATTATCCGCGATATTTGTGAAAACCGTGAAATAATAGGTATCCGTGAGCAATACTATAATATCGTATTCATCTTCTTTCAAATAAGTTTCAAATAAAATAGGAATTGAACGGTCGCAATTACTGTTCTCTGACCTCTTCTGGAAAAGTTTCCTCTCTCGCCCGACGATGCAATTTATGCCACAATAGCCGCTGCCGCCGCGAGGTCAATTCGTGAAAGTATGCAGCGAGGGGGCAAATTGCGCGTTTACAAAAGGGCGTGCAGCGGCGGGGGCGGTTAAAGCGTTTAGTGCGGTTAACGGTGCGCCATAATCCAATTTATAATCTGAATTGCAACCCACCTAATCCCATTATAAAGTCGCATTTTCATGCCACATGCGTGCGCTGTGTCCCATGCGAGGCATGCCGGCTCGGTCAGCATGTAGAAACATTTCGCCAGAATAAGCCCTAGTAAGCTCGGTCCAACTCATGTTTATAGGCCTACCAAATATTGTTCCGATTCTTTGTTTTTCCCAAACGTCTTCACATTGTCAACGCATATGTTTTGGTTAAGTAATTTCAACTCGCTCTTCCACTTCTTCTCGAGGAATTTGTATCATAATACATTACTCGCAATTATAGCTATTGATTTCGCTCGGCGTAATTTGTAGATAGAAGAGAGTTAAGTAATATTTTTCAAGTTCTTAAATTCATTGAACTGTATATATGTATAAGGCCGCACTAACATAATATTGCTGCAAAGGCATATATAATATTCCTTTTTTAGAATTTTTCTTTTGGAAAGTCTATTATATATACGCTATAAAATTTTGTATAATTGAAAATAAAAAGAGCACATTATATTATTATATATAATTTTAAAGATTTTTTTAAATATTGTGCTGCGGCTTCAAGATGATATATTAAAGTTCCAACGTTTTTTAATTTCAACAAACATCTCGTATTTATATACGATAGTCATGTTAGCTTACGTCGCTCGAGTGTGAGTATCATATCTATTTTCCATAGAACTATAATCAATTTTTAGTATGTACAGCCGCATAAGGTCAATTTGAATAGAATGTAAATGCGTTCGAGAGGCAGCGTTGCGACATGTTTAATGTTGAAGCTTTCATTCGCTCTCGTGAAGAGTCAATACCGTTACATTCGACACGTCGAGAGAGAAAATTCGTCTCTAGGCTGTTCTGGGCTGTACACCGCTATATCGGGAACCCCCTCGTTTAAAAGGGTCGGCAGGAAAGCGCTCTCTCGCCATTACTCATTCTCCGTTCTGTTTAAAAATATCGTACGCGTGAAATATGGACCGAATTGAAAGTCTTCCATGGCAAAGGACGCGGAAGACGGGACGGAGGGATCTAGGACGTGTTTAAAAAAAAAAAATATATATATAAAGGAGAAGAGTAAGCCCCTCGTACACACGAGTCGCGTCCGGGCCAAGAGGGAGAGCCCACGATCTGTGGGCATGTGTCCTGGGGATATTTGGAGACAATTAATCAAAGAATGGCTTACGAGAGGAGTGCTGCTCGTGAGAAATACGATGCGGAACCGTTTCTATCTGTCGCAACGACCGGAAGTTTTAATTTCAACTATCCTCGTGCCGGTTAACGACGTGTTTAAATACAACGCGCGTTGAATAATTTATCGAGAGCCGGACTTTGCGAAATGAAAAATTCTAATCAAATCAAGGTAAAAGTTCGTCTTGGCGCTAATCGTTAATATTCAATATGCAGATGCAGCTTTATATACGTAAGTTATTTCAATTTACGGATAAAAAATCTTTCTCGTTTCGTTCATAAATCTTGTTCCGTCGCATCTGTAATAAATTTAAATTGTTGATAAATTCGTTTATTCATGAACAGTATTTCTTGATAGTTGAAAATAATAACTGATTTATTTTGTCAAGAGAGATTATCTTTATGATTTTTTAATGTAAGAAAATTAAGCTTTTAAATAAAATCTTAGAAGTGATAGATAATCTATGATATGAGAAACTAGCGATTAATCAATCAGCCAATGTCACAATTCATTATTTTTCTTGCACTATCCGTGCGTTGCGTTCACCGGAAGCGAGTTTCTATCTAGGATACAGAGCAAACAACGAAATCACAGTGATCACACCGCGCACGTTTCCCTGTTCAAACAGAGCGGGATTGCCGTTGCGAGCACCACCCCGCGTCATGAATAATCGGGATTCTCTTCCATGGTCCCTTCTGCTCTCTTTTTTTGCCGTCTCCCGCGCGGTGCCGGTCGGCGAGGCGACCGACTTTAATCCCGCATGAATATGTAGAGGATCCGGATCGACCGGGACCCGGTCGTTTCGGCAGTATATATCCCCGGCTCTTTTGGATAGCGATGATCATCGTCGGACAGTCTCCATACCGACGATTTGTAATTATCATAAATTCACCGAATGTACGCGCCGCATTGGCATGCTCATTTAATGACGTAAGAAATTATTATAGACTCTGGGCCTTTTTTTCTCGTTCGATAGGAATGTCCTTTCTCACTCCATTCATGTATCGCTATCGATTAACTGCATGTCTAGGCGATACTTAACATCTACAGGGATAACGTTCGAAGTTTATAGACTCTAACGCAGCTAATAGAGAGCTCCTTCGCGCAGTATCTCGCCGGACGCCATAATGTCGAGCACATGAATTGTCGGTCGAGAGTTCTCGCGTGGTAAACATGAACTCAATCGTGTCATTAAGTGCTTCGAAGCAGAACGAAAAAGGTGACGAAAAACGGTAGGAATTACCCCGACGAGGCGTCATAAAGGGTTGACGGTTGTATATCATTGGCACAAAGCTATTCGGACAGTTTCCCCAGTAACAGGTGTATCCGCATTCTGGCAAGGTAATAATTAGCTTGAATGTCGGGATATAAATACTCCTCCTAAATTTTCTTGGAGATAATGAAGCGTTTCTGGACAGTCCATAAATAAGTCCCGAAACTATGTTTTCGGTGGCATTTTTTTGTCAACTCCCCGGAGAGTTAATAATGTTTCGAAAGCTATCGATGTTTAATATCTGATCTGAGATAATCGGAATAATAAGAATTGAATATATGACTTTGGTACCACTCAAATATTTTTATTACTCTAATAAGAATAAGCAATAAGAATCGCGACGGACGAGGCTTTACTTCGTGAATTTGTATACTCTAATAACTCGTGATTTATGGTAATATTACAAAAGTTTTTATTATTGGTGACATTGATATCCATGTGTTACACATTTCTGCTATATAGTTGAATAATAAAGGTATTCAATATATATATTTTTTAAACAATCCTACATGTATGCGAATTCAGGCCATCAAATGTATTGACTGTCTTGATTGCACACTCTCGTTTGACACGCATACACGAAGTGGTACGTGAGATCAATACTGGTGGAATATCTGTCAATTAATCTTAAAAAAGTCGATTGAAAATTCGCTGCTGTATCATCGCTTTGGATCTTTTCAATTTCCGACTTGAGCCGAGCCCGCCTTATTAGATTCATTGATTTATTCGATCGACTGGCACAGAGAAATGAAAAAGCGGAATGATGGAAGAGCGAGGGAAACAGAAATATTCGTTTCAACTGTCATTCTGCTGTTTTAATTACGCGCTTCGTGTATGCCCAAGTAAACGACTAAGAGCTTCTTTTTTCGCGTTTTAATAGCAGCAGACCTTTAGGAATTAATCGATAAACGTGTTAGTGGTAAAAATATTATTAGATGATAATATATTCAATTTAAAGAAAATTGTTGAAAATAGTTGTATTACTCAAGTCAGAAAAGAAAACGTGATATTTATGATTTTACTGCCGGAAGTTGACTGTCGATTTTTTAGATGCTGTCTTTCAAACTTTACGACTTTTATGATTATGAGAACTTTTTTGGTTATGTCAAACCAAAGATGTACGTTTTGCTGGTATGAAAAATCTAGAATAATAAAAAAAAATAAAGTAGTATGAAAAAAAGAAAGAAAGGAAAGAGCTGAATAGCATGCAGGTTGAAGCAGGCATATTATTACATTAGCTAACGGCAAGTGACCTGAAGGGATATCTCAAGTTTTTACCGTATTGTCGGCTTT